ACGTTTTTATTTTATTACTAAACTTTTCTTAGACTAAAAACAGTGAGTAGTACTAATCACAAACTTTGTTGTCAAATAACAATTCAACTTTACTGACTTAACAAAACTTAGAATTAAGTTACTGGCTATAAACGCTGACAATTGCAATTTTAGTGTGTAAGTTTTTAACTTCCATTGTTTTCACTCACTTATCATATCGCAAAGTGATCAAATTTATTTTTCGACATCTGATCAGAACTGTGATTCAAATTGGAAAACTGTTTTTGACAGGAAATCAGCAACCAAAGGACTTCGTAACTGAAGAAAAATCTTTATAAGACGATCAAACCAACAGGCGATTAGTCCTTTGACTGGTTGCAAGTCGTTGATAAACTAAGCACCTAAATCTTTGAAATTCATGATGATTATCAAAAAGAATACACTGCAAATTTAAATAAACTTGCACTTTTAAAAAAACCACTAAATCTTTTCAATTTTCTTCACGTGAAAAACCTCTATAGAAGATTTCTGATTAATAAAATAAAATGTAAAGTTGTCATCTTTGACTATTTAAACTGTATATGTAAAGCAAAAGCGTCAATAGATTATTTCAATATTTGCCTTGGCTAAAACTCAGCTTTATTTTTGGTAGCTGCGAAAAATTAACTGAAAATGATAAGTGACTTTGAAAGTTGATTTTATATAGTAAAAAATATTTCTCATTTTCCCGTATTCTTTTTTTGCTTTTAAGAAGTGCCTTGCTGAATGGTACTACCATTTACTAGCACCAAATGATACACGTTACTTGCTTTCAGTTTTTTATTAGATATAGATTCAGAACTGTTAACTCTATGTTTGCAATAATAAGAATGAGTCAAAAGATATAGAGTTTAAAAACACCAGTAGCGATAGACTTAATGAAAAATAATATTAAATTAAGAATAAGGAAATTGCAACAAACATTAGAGTAAAATTTGAGAAAAGTGTAGCAGAAATGTAAGTGAATTATAAAACAGGAATTTGACAACAAAGAAAATTCCAAATGAAAGTCTAATGTCTTTCATCTTCAAGGAAACCGAAGTAAAAAAGACGCTTTTTCATCACTTTATAACAGACAAGCGAGAAAAGGAGCAGAAGCATAAGCTGTCATGTTAAACTGCAATAAATTTTGGCCACTATATTCAATTCTAACAAGACAAATTCTTCAAAAAAAAATTGAGCAGTGAGAAAGAATGTGGCTGAACAGAAGACAGGCAGTCTCAAAATACTGCAAATAGCATTTTTGTATCAAACGATCTTCATTAACAAGACTCGATTTTACAGATGTATGAAAAGAACAGTTACTTAGACATATTTTTTTTTAATATGAAATCAAAACAAAAGGCGTTTTCTGTTCACAGAGAAAACAACAAACGCAGTTTTGAAGTCCGGATTTGAACTTTTAAAATATTTAACTGTAGTAAAACCTTTATTCCATCATATTTGTCAAAACAGAAATCATCTGGATAAAGACATGAACAAGAAGCAAACAGTACATAACGTAGCACTTCAGAGAAGCTCATAAGAACAAATATAGCTAATAATTAATGTGCATTCAAAAAGTTTAAGTTCTAGAAAAAGGCAAGATACTACATTACCAAATGAAAAGATTTTTTTTTTCTAAAGATTAAACTGAAGAATTAAGACGGCATCGAGTGTTTTTGCATTTAAAGAAACGAATAAGACAAACACTGATTACTCTACCACTTTCCTCCTGACGTATTTGAAAAATTAAATACTGATGCTTTTTTGCAATTATTGGAATCGTGTAAAATCCGTACGTAGCAGTGTTCTTGACTTCTCCTATTTTCTTTCTTGGATAATATCTGCTTTATATAAACATTTATATATGTACAAGTAAAAAAGGTTTTAAAAGACTTTTGTAATATTGTACTAATAAATCATCAATCTCTGAAGGACCATGCAAATTGAAAACAAAAAGAACAAGCTTTTGCAACGGTCACGCGAAACTAGAACTTTTGTTTGCTCTTATTATCCTATTTCTGCTTCTCTGATTCTATATTTCTTATTGTAATTTAATCGTAAGAAAGGTAAAAAAACTGTTTTTTTAGGAGGAGAATAAATTAAAATTTATAAAAATTTAAGTGGTTTTTTTGACATGCATAAATTGTGAAATTTCTCGAAGATACACCTAAACACATAGCTTGTAATAAGGGTAGTTTCCTACAATCTCTCTTTTCCTCCTGGCGGTTTGTAATTTTTTGTCTTAAAGCGGCTTTCTAACGTAGACAGAAAGTAAACCAACAAAAAAAAAATTAGGTTTTTCTTTCTTTATCTTTAACGTTTTATTTGTAACGAATGGTTTAAAAAAACTTTACAAATAAGACGGCAAACAAATGTACAGACATTCAAGCACTTCTTCAGTGTTAGTAAATTTATGTCTTATCAACCAAAAAAAAGGTAAATGCGCCGAAAATTCTGGTAATTGGCAGTAGTATAATCAGTAAGTTATCTGTCTGTTTTTTAGACAATTATTGTTACTTGTTGTTCAGTATTTAAATGATAATAAGTCATAGAACTGAACATAGACTGCAGCGTAAAGGTGAATGAATGAGATGAGCAGATAGATACTAAGAGTCGTCTTTTACAGAGTTTAGACAAGAAGAAGTTTTAGCACTACTGCCTTTCCAGAGATTACACTTTTGTGAAGTTGTAAAACTTTGTTTTTTCATAAGCAGCTAAAGACAGAAAAAAGGCACTAATTTTGTTGATACTGTCTGGTAGGTAATAGCGTTTAGAAATAATTTATAAGTTTAGTTTCAACAATACTTATCATCAACTATTTTATCTATACATCTTTCTTTTCAAATTTTTCTACAACAAAAAAAAAAACAACTTTTGTAACCTGCAGAAGTTTTTAATTGTTATACATTTTTTTTCACATAACAACAGCTTTTAATGGAAAAACAGGTTAAAAATGCTCAAAAAAATTTAACAACTGGTGTTTAATATGGTGGAAAAGTAATGTAACAATAAAGAAAAAGTCTATCTGATCAAATTTATGAGATAATTTCGGAAAAAAACATAAGGAAAAGTACAAAAATTGACAGTGAAACAGTGATTATCACAGTGATAGAATGAACAGTAGCAAAAAAAAAAAA